TATAAAAACTAGGTCAATACTTTTGTGTAAAATTTAAACATCATCTGTACACTGTAAATATAATAGAGGAATAAAAATTAAAAGACAGTAAACACTAGACAATGCCCACTGAGACTTTTCAGGAAAAATGAAAGATTTAATTGAACAAGTAATTTTTAAAAGTTAAAACCACATTACTGACTTAAGAGTAAATTAATGGATGCAAATCAAGCCACACAATACTCTCAGTATCAAATTCAATTTAAGTAAAACAAACTTTGAAGTGTTTGTGGTTTAATCATTTTATTTAGATGAGAAGAGATACTTTGCCTAAAGAACAAAGTAAATGTTTCTGTTGTGCTTCTCTAAAATATCCCCTAGTAGTTGAAGGACATATATGCTAATAATTTTCAAATAATATTATTCATATATGTAATTTAATGAGTTAAAACACAGTAAAAAGTCCTAAACAGCTACTATTAGATACTTTTTCCCAATGTTAATATGTAGGGAATGAGCTGGTCATTTCAGCTTTTGTTAAGAAGACCTACTAATTACATATTTTTCTTTCACTTTCCTTTTTGTAAAGAATAAAAAAAATAATTTTCATATTTTCAAACTTCTTAAATAAGATTAAGTCTGAAAATCAAGGAAAACTAAAAACTGTGGAGATGAAATAATAAAAATACTTTAAAGCTACTTTTTAAAAAGAAATACAAATCAATTCTTTCTGAAACAAAATCATATATAAACTATGGGGTGGTTATTTATATTAGGTACACTTTGAATATGCCCCTTTTAGATTTAGAAGTCTTGAGAAAATAAGGTGGTGACATCATCATCTTATCATCATAATTACCATTTATTGAGTGCCTTCTATGAGTTAAGTACTCATAAACATTATTTCACCTAAACGTCACAGCAACGTATAAAGTAAGTTTTAAATAAAGCTTAGTGAGGCTGTCATTTACACAAGATAAGTGATAAAAAGATTAGAACAAAGGTCTGAATCCAAAGTCTGAGCATTTAACCACTACCTACTACTAATGGTGTATGTGTCAGAAGTGATTGCAGACAAAATATGTTTGAAATACCAGATCCATCTATTTGCTGATGTATTTTCAGTGCCTAATACCGTGCCTAGTACATAATGGGCTCTCAATAAATACTTCTTGTTTGCATTTTAAAGATGTTAGCATAGTTCCTATAAAGTGCTTGGTAAAAACAATATCACTGGTGATGGTGATGTCAAAAAAGAAGGGGGAAGTAAAAGGGCCAACTATATGAAATTTTATCACAATACAGGATACAACTCAGTTTTAAACTCTCATGAGATCAGCAGTATTCACATCATGTAAAAACCATCAGGGAGGCAAAGGAAATAGGCTTCATGCTATTATAGCAGTCTACATGAAGGTTTATCATAGGTATTCATTAAAGTCCAAATCCTTTGTATCTTATTTCTTTTATTTCAGATTCACATTTAAGTAAAATGTACTAGTGATAACAAATACATATACTTCAACAGTAATTTTCTTCATCATCTAACCCTTTGTTTCTAATTTTTTTTCACTTTTGTTTATTTCCTTTAAAAAAACTATTAACAGCGAACCATTAATTTTAATTAAAAGCTGAACAGAACAAAAATCTTTTCAAAACTTCTGACGTTATCAAAGGTTTAAGAATTTCATAAAGATAATAATCAAATATTAATATTAGCTACAACCTACTGAGTACCAGCTATATACTAGGTGCTTTTAAATATTATCTCTAATCTTTAAAATAATCTGGTAAATTAGTTAATATTCACATCTTACATGGAAGAAAGTGAATCTGGAGAGGCTAATAAGTAATTTGTCCAAAGTCACACAATTCATATTAAGTAAAAGCTGTGATTTGAATATGGGTCAAGGCTTTTGATCCTTCCATTTCTTCATTCTGCTTCACAAAGAACTAGGCACCTCTTGTTTTATGCGGTTTTGACTATACTCAATTCTTACTCTTGTAAATTATACAATCAGCTGGGAAGATAAGATGAATTAATTTATACATAAATAATACACATAAAGACACAAAAATAAATAAGGGGCAAATCAGAAACACAAGAAAATGGCAAGTTCTGATCATACCCATCATAAACTTTTGGTTTATGTGGTCTTTATGTGTCATACTTATCACAGGAATTATTTTAAGATTAGAAAGCAAGTAACTTTTAAAAAATTACATCTTTTAAAGATACATTTACATTTTCTAATACTATAAATCTAATCCACGCTCATCACAGAAAACCTAAAAAGGCAAAAAACTGTTGACTGAAACATTAATACATCCATTAATACTACCAAAATTTGCCTCTCATTTTATGGAATACACATGTATTTATATTTTAAAGAAATTATATCAGTTTTCCCCACTTCTTTCACTTAATATTATAATGATTTTCTCATATCAATTATTCTTCAGAAATGATTTTAATTGTTGCATGATATCTCGACAGCATAAATGTGCCTTAATTTATTTAACCATTCCCTTATTATTTGATTTTAATTCGCTTGCTGTCATAACTAATACTGATGAATATACATCTTTACATTTTATATATTAGAAAGAAACAGCTTCCATTTCCTTGAATACTTCATATTTTAATTAACATTTTATTTGAAAAATCTATAGACATATATTTTTGCATACTATTTGCAATTTTCAGTGTGTAGTTCAGGATGTGTTTGCATGTATTTTTTTAAATATGAAATACCTTGACTTTAAACATTTATATTCTGCTTACGCACAATAAGTATTTAAATATATGCACATATTTGTCATCTACTTTACCAAATACACTTTTTATTTCCAATCTAAAAATGAGCAGTGAAACAAACATCCATGCTTATGTGGATTATCTGTTCTTTCATATGACACTAAATAAAAAACTTATCACATATAATGTAAGTCATATAGTGTTCCCCATTCTATTACGGCTCTGACATAGTTTTTTTTTATGGTATTTTCCTTTTTGACTGCATTTGCTACTGATCCAGTAGATGATAAGTTGTTTAAGACTGTACGTGTAATGAGAAAGCATGAAAAAGTTCATGAGTCTACCAAGAGTCAGTGAACAAATTTCTTGTAGTTTCAAATCAATGGAGTTCTTATTTCATTTTTTAAAAATTTTCACATATTATATAATTCTCTCTAATGTCACAAGGAAAATATCTTTAATCTTTTTTCAATAAAATAGAACTAAAATATTAAAAAATAAATAAAAATAAATTCTAAGAATTTATACTTTCAAAAAAATATAAGGGATTTTCATTTTGTGTCATTTTTCTAACAAAGTAGTTGGACACATCTTTTTTAACTAGATTGCTTTGTCCAGAGAAACTATATACACTATGAACTTAATCAATTTAGGGGCTGTAAGAACATACTAAACATGTTTCAAACATTTAACATTTACTAAAATAATATTTTATTATTAAAAAGAAATATTTGATTAACAAAATAACAAAAACAAAGTCTTTCCATTTTATGCATGCATGATTCATAGTTTAGCCAAAGGGAACCCTTAAATATATACCAATAAATATTAAAGTATATGATTAGCTCTAGTACACAAAAATTTAAAAGTAATATTGCTTAATGAGTTTTCCCCTCCGGGAGATAAATGAGCTATGAAGACATATTAATTCATGATTTTCAGTAAGTCATAATGGCATAAATCTCATTAAATTAATTGTTAAATTATACATGCAATTAAATTATGATGTAAACACCTTAAAACAAATGTACTTCCTATAATGTCTTACTAGCAATTTGTATCTATATTCAATTATAAAAAGCCAAGAAACTTTCAAATTGTTCTAAACTTATATCTGAATTATTCATTTTTAACATACTGTTAATTTTTTAAAAAATATATTACTATTTCCCCACAAAAAAAATCCAAACAATTCATGGTACTTTAACATTAACAGAAAAGCAACCACCTGGTATTTTGCTGGAGTATTTATTTATGGTCATTTTGGTTGCATTCTCATAGTGATGTTTAGTTCTATAACATACAGTAGTCAGGCTATATCCTGTTAATGTCTCTGACTGATATTACCAGAATTCTTTCATAAATGCACCGAAGGCTAAGTGGCTCATAATGTATGATTATAATTTCAAACTAATCACAAAATACGATTATTTCTTAAAATCATTCTAATGATATAAAATTGTTAAAATAAGTAATCTCTAAAATACCTTTCAATGTTAATTTCTATTACTCTGTGAAATTTCTCTTTCCTTACACTAAAACAGTGTGAGGAAGAGTCACAGTGACATATATATGTGTATATTTGTGAGAGATTATAACTATTGAGAGTCATCTGATCATATCTGTAACATGTCACAGATGTATTTAAAAAATTATTTCTCCTTGCAAAGACCTGAGAGTGAAGACAGACTCCAAAACATATTTAAGGCAGTCATTTATAATCTTAAACTCTGTCAACCTTTCACTTTAATCTTCTCAAGGAAACATTATCTCCAGCATCATCCACATCATCAGATACAAACTTATTAATTGCACAAAATAGATTTTTAAATCAAATGTAGGTTTTCATTGGCAATGAATATATGACTAACTTCATACAAAAAAGAAGTATTTCCTCTCCACGAGCTAAAACAATAAGTGGTATTTGAACTGCTGGTTGAAAGGTAGAGGCACTGGTAATCATTATTTCCCCTTGTTTGTTCAGGCCCTTCCAACAAAACAAACAACCTTTTTGTGATTGGATTGACATGGTGTTAACAATGCATTTAATGCCCAAATCAGTATGAATACAGGTAAAGCTCTCACTAATACCAGTACCAGGATGTTAAAGCCACCTATTTTCTAAGCAGCCAAAAAAAAAAAAAGGGACACGGCCTCCCCTCCTTTGGCAAATAAGCTAGTATGTTAGTATTCACCAGGCCATATAATATAATAACCTTGTGTATCTTTCTTAAGGCCATATGTTAATACTCATCTACCATACCTGCTGTCTTTTCAGCAATCTGAGCTTCTGTTGCTTTCTCTTGGAGTTCCAGCTTAAGCTTTAGTTTTCTCTGTTCTTTATCTTCTTTAGTCAGTTTTTCTTGAAGCTTAAACACATTGGAAAAAACCTAAGATACTTATCTGACAAATTTCTTGCACAAATATAATTAATCCTAAAGTAAAATTTTTTTAAAAAATAATATTACATTTAACTCCCTAAACACACAACTCCAAAAAAACCCCCCATAATATTTAAGGTTTTAAGGTATTTTATAAACCAATAATTTCTTTTAATAACATAGAAATTATAAAAACAATTTATATATACTTAATTTATATGTATGCATAGGCAAATGAAATGAAAGAGGGAACAACATAATTGTTAAAAATAACTACTGCAAAAAGCAATCTGATCCATTCTATTGTCTTAAAGCAAAAGGCTTGGAAGGGACTATCCTAAAAAATTAATGAACAGCACAGTTTCCAGTTTCTTTTAGTAATTCTAACAGTTTGAAACAAAATTAAGATAATAATCTTAATATCTGAAACAAGTTTCCCTTTGGGAATGCCATCCCATTGTATTCCATTTAAATTGGCACTGGCACCTAATTCATAATTGGCATGTAATAAATAACTGATAAATAAAAGAACAGAAAATATCTCTTGCATGCAGAATCTTTCCAAATGGTTTTTGGGTTTTTTTAAATTTCTGCCTTGGCTTTTGTCATTTGTGTTGTTTTCTATCAGACATGATCAACAATCCTAACATCATGCTTCAGTTTGGTTAGGTCAAACAACTAGCATATTAAAATCAGAAAAGTATGGAGAGGTTAAAAAAAAGAAGGCACAAAAAATGAACATTATTTAATGCTCAAAGAAATGTAACTAGAAAAAGAATGAGGAAAGATAAAACACGACATAAGTTGAATTAGACAAAATGCAGCAATATAACACAAGGTAAATGACAATACTGCCAAGCCCTGCTACTTTAAAGTTTAATTACATATATTATTGATGTGAAATATAGGGCACAGATGCTAATAAAAAAAAGAGAAAAAAGTTAAGAAAGTAATGTAAAACCAGCACATTAAATTTCTCATTCTCCATAACACTGGAATAAAATTTTACCACAGTAAAATGTGAATGAATCTTTTTTCAGGTACATATTCAAGGTACCACAGATTTATGAAAAAGGAAATGATATCACAGGCCAGCAAGGGCAGGAAACCAAAGAAATTGCTTTTTGTGGCCAAATCCCAACTCAATCACACCCTGTTGGCATGATACGGCAACAACATAAAGCTACTGGTAAAGGATTAAAGTACACAATAAAACTAAATTATGATGGACAACGAAGCAAATTTAGGAGGTCAACAGCTAAAAGCACAGTGTATAATTATCGGATTTTCTATATTGTACCTTTTTATTGCTTGCTCTGAGATTGTTCAATTCTGTTAGAAGAAATGCTATCGTCTTCTCTTTATTTAAGTCTGAAGTAACTTGACAAGGAATCATACATTCATAATGCAAATTCTTATTTGTATGTTCCATAATGCTGTAATAAAGAAAACAAACAATATACACACATGATTTCTACTATACAGGATCTATAAATTTCACCCTTCAAATGGGGAGGGGGACAAATTTAATTTTAACAATAATATATAAAGTTACTTAACTTAAAACTTCTTTTGTTATTTACTGTTACAAGAAAATCCTATGAATAAAAAGAATAAATATATAGATTTTATTGAGGTGCTAATCTATCAGCTGAGAGAACTAACTCTGATGAAAGCATTTAGTAACATCTACAGAGACTCACAGATCAGTACACTCTAAGAATTCAGGTTTTAGCGGCTGGGAATATTAAATTTGTACTTTTAGTCAGGACAAAACACATTTCTCACTTTCCTGAAAATGGGAATAATAATCATAATTTTTTCAATTTGGTTGACAGAATATCACTTTCACTATTAAATTCAAAACATTAAAAATGAAAACATTTTCATTAAAAATGAAAAGTTTTTTGACATTTTGCATTCTATTTGAGTATCAAAGGACAAGTAGTATAAAGAAAGGGAAAGAAAAAGAGATGGGCTATTTTTTGAAGGCATTATATTAAACAGAAATAAATCTTAGAGTCTCTAAGAAGAAATTAAGCAGTGAGGCCTGCCTGGGACAGAGCCACTCTACTGACCATGTGTATCTTCTGTTGCAATTATACTAGATGTCTCATACTCTGACTTTAGCCCAATCTCTATTTATTTTTCCCATGTAGTTATAAAATGTTATCACTTCTTCATTCATCCTTACCTCTACTCCTCTACGGTATACTCAAATCTGTACTTAAGTAAGAATATAACTCATTGCTAAGAGGTAGAGACATGTTAACATACCTACTGAATAATTTTTAAGTAAACAGCAATAGCTATTCCTATGAAAAATTGTTAAAATTTATTCTATGAAATAAGATTTTTTTCTGGACTGAAAATACATTAGTCGCTGAAATTTTTGTAATTTAGTAAGTAGTATTTTCATAATAAATGACTAATTATCAAAGTATCTTAAATCTCATATGGAAAAGGCAAAGGTGTCACAAACTCAAATCCTTTCATGGGATAGATAGGTAAGGTGAATGGGTAAAAGCTGCAGAATGTAGAATAAGAAGAAAGTCAAATTGGAATGTATAAGGCCCTTCTAAAAGCAGTCAAACTCATTTAAATGAAAAATAATGCTAACCCAAACCAAAACACATCTTGGGGCTTATTTTGTCTTAGAGCTGCTGGTTTTAGGCTCTGATGAATAATATCCCATTTATATCAACTCAATAGTTATTTCCCAATCCATAATGAAAGGTCACAGAAAATATATTCAACAAGAAGGAATAAAACCTCATGGCCTTTATTCAAACTCATCTTGTGCTTTTTTACTAAGCAATCTAGACACATCGTATCAATATAATGGAAAGAGGAGAAAACTCTGGTAGATTTCACCAAATTTTAATAAGTTAATGACATGTCCAATTTAGCTCATATCATAAATAAGGGAGAATAGAGGGAGGGAGGCAAGGAAGAGAAGAAGGAAGGAAGAGTTTTCCCAATTCTTATTTTTTAAATCTAAGGCTGCGAGCACTCACTTGGATTTTTCAGTAGTGTAGTAAGATGACTCATCACTTGGATAAGAAAAATTCCTTGATCTCTGCCCTGGCAGTTTTGTATCCTCATATGTGGCTTCATTAACTAATTCATTGGATTTCTGATGCACGCTTCCCTTAGAAGTCACAGTAAGTTGCTCATCCGGCTGTGTACTTTTAATTCTCTCTGTAGTCTCCTGCTCAAGATAACTATGGGCTATATCTGTATTTAAAACAATACAAAAACACGATATATGCAACACCATAGCTACATACTGAATCATTCAAATGAATATTTTTGTGGACTGTCTTATAGCTTTAAACATATACTTTCTAGTCTTACTCTTATTGTTATCACATAAGCATACGCAGTGTGGTTCTGCCATTAATATTTCCATTCCCACAGGGAGTGGGCGTTTAGGACAGTGATTTAAACCTTGCCTGCAGGTTGGAATAACCTGAGGCATTATCCTACAGCCCAGACCACATTTTATTCTAATTAAATCAAAATCTCTGAGTGATTGGGTGACCCCAGCATACAATGAAAGCTGAGAAACATTGATTTAGAGGTATTATTTTCAGATTACTTTTTTCCCCTAAATTTTGAAAAATAGGCTGCAACAAGTTAATGATTATAGTGAAGTGATGCTATACATGGAACTATGGTATCACACTGCTTGGGTCAGAATTCCAGCTTTGCCAAGTGCATAACTTTGGTCAAGAAACTTAATCCATCCATGCCTCAGTTTCTTATTTTAAAAATAAGAACACAGTAACACCTGAGTTGTTGTGAGGATTAACTGAATTAATAATACATGCAAAATACTTGGCCTGGTGTCTGACACATCAATAAATGTTAGGTATTATTTCTGTAATCATAATATAAAATAAATATAAAAATTCTTAACTCCATTTTCTCAGATATGTATTATACCTGCTCTGCAAATCAGACTATCCATACTCTTCTACTGGGACTTCAATTATACTTTAGAGTAAACAAGGCTGATTTATAAGAGTTTTCTTTCTCTCTGCCTTTTTATTTTGATCAACTATTTTACCACCAAATGTTGTTTTAATCCTCTGAATGCTCTCAATGCTCTTCTACTGTGCCATATTGTATTATCCTATATTAGAATTCAACCATTTGCACAGAAAGTTTGACCCTTCTAATTAATTTAGTTATTCATTAATTTTAATAATTCATGGAAAACCTACAGTGTGGTATGTCAGTGATAAGTACTAGGAAAACAAAGACAAGAAATAGACTCTTTCCTCAAGGACTCTGTAGTACAGGGAGGAAGGCAAACTGATCTAATGAACTGAATACAATGTGATAAGAACTCTGGTAGGGTATAGAGACCAAATGCAAAATATGCTAGATATACTGATGCTCAAGTGGAAACTCTGGGAAGATTTCACAAAGGTATTTGTTCCAAATGAGGATAAGCAGGAATATGCAAAGTAATAAACTACCAAAATGCTTGAGTTAAGTGAAGTAAAGAAAAAGTTGAGACTGTGAGAATAACAGAACAGGAAGAACAGGCATGGGCATGGAGGAGAAGAAATAGCTTTAGGAAAAACAGTCATTCCTTCTATTGAAATGACAAGATGTTACAGTCAGGGAGTGAATATTTCTAATATGAGTAACATGTAACAACAAAGTCCATGACGTGGTTCATCTGGGAATGGGTTGATGAAATAGATGGATGGGGAAGGTACTTGGAGAGGAGGAAATCAAGGAGTCTGGGTAATGAAAGTGTCAGCTTTGAAGACACTGAAGTCATCCAGAAAAACAGCAAGAAACACAAAGGAGAAATGAGAGCCAAATGCAAAAGACTTCACTGACTGCATAAACATGCTAAAGAGAGAGAGAGAGGAATGAGAAAGGTGACAAGAACTGATTGTAGACAAGTTATTTCTTTTTACCTTTATATTTTGAAATAATTTCAGCCTTATAAGAAGTTGCAAAACCAGTACAAAGAACTCCATATACCCTTCGCCCAGATTCCCCAAATGTTAATGTTTTACCACACATGCTTTACAATTCATTTTCTATGCATCTATTTATCTACCTACCTACCTAAACATATGTAATTTTTTCTGAAACATTTGAAAGTTGCAGGCATGATGCACTTTGACTTTTCAAATTAGATTTTAAATACTGCTCTATCACACTGCATCTTGTCAAATTTTCTTTACCTATTCCAAGTCTAACTTATATTCAGTTTCTGAGTTAGTACCTTTTCCAAACAAAAAAGATAATAGTACTTAGTGACTCTAATTCAGTCTTCAATTATTTTTCCTAAACTTTCTGGCATAGGAGAAAGATCTTTAGGAAGTGATAATGAGATAAAGCTACTAAAAGCTTTTACTTAAGCTGTTTGTATTGCTTTGTGTTTTTCCTAAAGCTATTTCTTCTCCTCCATGCTCATGCCTGTTCTTCCTGTTCTCTTCTTATTCTCCCAGTCTGTCACTTTTTCTTTACTTCACTTAATTCAAACCCTTTGGCAGTTTACTACTTTGCAAATTCCTACGCGTTTGGAACAAATGCCTTTGTGAAAAATTCCTAGAGTTTCCAGTTGAGCATCAGTATATCTAACATTTTGCATTTGGTCTCTATACCCTACCAGAGTTCTTATCACATTGTATTCAGTTCATTAGATCAGTTTGCCTTCCTCCCTATACTACAGAGTCCTTGAGGGAAGAGTCTGTTTCTTATCTTTATTTTCCTAGTAGTTATCACAGATATATCATACTGTAGGTTTTCTATGAATTATTAAAATTAATGAAATAGGATTACATATAGAAATATAAACATAAGTCAACAAAATTCAATAAAAAGTGAAGTTACAGGTTTTGCACACAAGTCAATTAGATAAATTTTTAAAAGAACATTCACTTCTGATTTAAACTTTTTCTCTAAACAGATGAAAGCTTAAAACTAAAACTATTCTACTGCTTCCTCACTCTCTAATATAGTTTAAAATGGAAACTATAACCTACTTCAGTGTTTAATCAATGTCATTGTTAATTGTTTCATCATTATTACTATTATTACTAAATTCATTTCTCCATATGGATTTAGAAAATTTTCAATCTCTTCATAATTCTTAAGTCTATAAGATCTAACTTTCCTTATAGTTAAACACAGGGAATTTTTTATGATGACTATCGATCCCTTTATTTACTCTTCTGTGGACACACCAATATTTGGACATAGAAATTTGATGACTTCAAACCAAGTATATTAATTTTTGCTATTACTATCTAATGCTACCACTTCCACATAAATTTATCCTGTGAGCATTTGAAAAAAATGTTATGGGATGTGGTTCCATAGTGTAGCGGTTAGCATGTCTGCTTTACACACAGAAGGTCCTGGGTTTGTGCCCCAGTGGAGCCGTGGTCCATGGTCTATGGCCATGCCACCCTGAACAAGCACGATGTCTGATCTCGGAAGCTAAGGGTCGGTCGGGCCTGGTTAGTACTTGGATGGGAGACCACTTAAGAAGACCACTTAAGAAGGTGCTGTGGGCATAAATAATAAAATAAAATAATGCTATGGAAGACTACTACTAGGTTTTCCTCAAATGGCACCTACAGCTATTGCTAGGGACAGTTTATTCACCTGGGAAAATGGGTGGATTTAGTGAAGTTTTTTTAGGGAATCTCAATACTTAATGTATGTGCCTTGGCTGGCTGTACAATATATTCTGAAGGCCCTGTATTCCTCTAGTGATTTTCATGCTGTTTCCAAGGGACCATTTTCAAGACCTAACAGATTCTTTATTTCTGGAGGTATTAGTATTGCCAACTATCTCAATGCTAAAATTGTATTAAATTCTCAATTCCTTAAGTCTAGAAAATTAACAGTATTACATCATTTCTTACCTTACGACAGAAAGCTTTAGGATTCCCTTTGAGTTCAATTATCCAATTATACATCAGTCAATGTATAATATACTCAGTTGAATTGAGGCTACCTAAAAAATGATGACTCATTGTCAAAAAATAACTGTTATTTCACAATTACTATATAGAAGTGAGGAGGTGGCTAGAATCAAATAGGGATTCTTAGAGGCTGGGAAATTCTGTTCTGTCTGGCTTTGTAAATAGTTTGTGACAACTGGTATCTGTGTAAACGGATTTGATGGTCCCCAGGGGGGTCAATACTGTTTACAGAGCTGTTTCTTCAGAGTGGTTGAGCTAGAATTGTCTCTAGGGATCCTACTGGGGTTACTCAGAATAGCAACATCCCAGCTACCTGAGAGCTCACCGTCAGAAAATAGAAAGAGAAATAGAAGTACTATAGACAAGTCATTCAAATAAATGGAACTCTTGCTTCTTCAGATGCAGGTGCTACTCAGGGAAATTTATATCAAAAATAAATCATAAGGAGGCAATTTGTTAATGTGCTCTCTGATACTTGCTAATACAATTGGTCACTGCTTCTTTAAACTTTTTTTTGGAAAGGTTACAACTTATACTGTAGCATCTGATTTCATAAATAAATTAAAAGTCTCATGTTTATTGTTTCTTTCTTTTGTATATTGTCTATCACCACATTATGTAAAAACATCAAAATGATATTTTTTTGGTATTAAATAGGTGTATAAATTTGATGTTATGATGGAATTACTACAGTCCACATTTTAAACAAAAGATGTCTTCTTCTCAATGGTTAAGAATTTTTCGAAATAATTAGTTTCAACATAATCAGAACAACAATTATCAGTGGCTCCTAATAATTCTACCAATTCTTTAAGTTAAATCTAGCTGTATGCGTGTACAAATACTGTTTATTTCTTTTACTAAGTATTTCTGACTATTTGTTTCTCTTTTTTGTGGAAGGGTTAGCTTTACACATTTGCATATCTGGTTACTTTTCTCCAAATCATAAAAGAAAAAGACATCGGAAATGTCTGCCATATCACAGTGGTCTCACCTAATGTAAGTGTGTACAAGGGAAGAGTTTAGACCTTCCAACTAGACTCCTGGTGTATTTAGATCTTCCAAGCAGAACCACAGACTGCAGGGTTTTTAATTCTGGCTCTACCATACAGCTATATGACTTTTAGCAAATTACTTAACCTCTCATTAGCTTCTCTATCAATAAAAAATTACATCATAATAGCACCGACCTCAAAAGGTTGTTATGAGGATTAAATTTGAATTATATAATTTCTTAGAAAAGTGTCAGCACAGAATACACTCAATAAATGT